GTTTGAAGGTGTTTTATGTTTAACACTCTGCCATGCCACAGCTGGAATGGTGTCTGTGTAGTTCCTCTGATTGGCAATCTGTTTTGGAATTACATGGCTGTCATGATGGCTTCTCCCCAAATTTGGTTTGGGAGACCTGTGCCCACCAACATGCATCTTGTCATCTCCAACAGAGACTTTAGCTTTCATTCAGCTGACCCATTTTGGCTGGTCATGTATGGAACACTTTTTCCCGTGTTGAATTCCACATTCTTCTAAGAAAGATTGGGTGCACTGTGACAAATATTCACTTGCACAATCTGTCTGGATGGCCTTAGGTGTCTTCTCGAATTTCATTGTTACCATTGCAACATATTTTTGTAGCATCTCTTGAGCTTGGCTCTTTTTTTTCAGAAGGTAGATGACACAATACTTTGAAAAATCCTCCATACAAATTAGTATGTATCTGTTTCCTCCTAGAGAAGGTACAGATAATAGTCCACAAATATCCAAATGTATGACGTCAAGAACTTGGCAGCTTCTCTGTTCAGTATTTGGTCTAAATTAAGGACTTACTGCTTTTTGTTCAACACAAACTCTGCTCCTATCAGAGTTTTCACAGCCCTGGGACTTTACTTTGATCCCAGTAGCCAAATTCAGGTTTTATAGTTGTAGAATTGCTTTAGTGTCACAATGAGCAAAGCATCTGTGCCATAGTTCAAGGCTGTCTTCATCCAAGTATCTTTGAATCATATTCACTTGTGGAATTGAAAAATCTACTTCATAAATACCATCATGTTCAAAGGCTTGTACATATGTCACATTGTTTTTAGAAACTGTACATTATCCACCTTTGAAGGTAATTTCATATCCCTTTTTATCCAAAGTTGACACACTGAGCATGTTGCCTTGTAGATTAGGAACATACAACACAGCACTGACAGTATTTTCCATGATTATATTGTTAGGTACCTTGCAAAGCAATTTAAATTGGCCTTTACCAACAATTTGCTAATTCTAATCAGAAGCTGTTTGAATAATCCCTCTAACACTTTTATCAGTTTCATCAAAATAGGATTCACACTGTTTAGAATAATTCGTGCAACCTGAATCTATGATCGATATGCTTGAATTAAATTCACTAGTATTAGCTGTCAAAATTTGTGCCTTCATAAGACTGTTTCCTGTTTGTTGATTTATTTTGGTTGAGTCCTGTTGCCTTAGTCTTTTAAAACCTGCAGCCTACCTTTGCTGGGTACAGCTCCCATTGGCTGGAGGATTTTTAGGGAGGGTACAATTCCTTGAGATATGCCCCTTTTTATTACATCTGTAGCAAGTAACATCTGATTGGCCACTGGGAGTCGCCTTTCCCCTGCCTCTGCTTGTCACCAGGTAATTCGATTCAGAACTGTGGGAACTTCCTGTCTGTTCTATATACTCCTCCCTGAGCATACTCAGAACTTGGGTAAAACTAATGTCTGGAACAGCATTAATTACAGTTGAAAAAGCATCAAATGGTTTGCCCAAAGTTCCCATGAAATAAACAACTTTAAGATTATCACATGGTTTAAAATCAAAGTGACATCCTTTCAAATAAATCATTTACTCTTGCAATATGCTTTTCACAATGCTGCTTGGAATTCAGCCTCAAATTCATCAGTTCTTTCATTACAGCACAGGGAGTCTTATTTGTTTTCTTTCCAAAATTTTCCTCAAGCCTCAAAAGCATGCCTTTCACAGAATCACAGTCATGAACTAAATTGATCAAATCACTTGAGAGAGACTCTTAAATAATATGTCTTCCTATAGCATCTTCTTTCATCCAAATGGATTTCTGCTTTTTTTAGTTGGCATTTCTGACTTTAAGTGTCATGGGCTTGCAAAAATACATTCAACCTTTGCTTATATTCTGAAAAATTCTGAGGTGACACCCTTAGCTTATAATCAAAAACATTAGCAAAAGAAATTTTTAAAAAAACATCAGCAGCTCAAAAGAAAAACCAAAAAACTCTCTCTCTGGTAGACATAAGCAAATGGGAGAAAGTGGGGAAAAAACTCAACAAATAATAACAAAAAACTCAAACAATCTAGTTTTAAATTGTTGACATCTGCTCATAAGCTTCTGGGCTCATAACCTGATGGATTTTTTTTGAGTTTCATTATAAAGCTCCGGAAAATAGGAGAGAATGATTTAATCTCACCAGCAAAGTGAACACAGCAGAAAATGCATGAGCAGGAAAAATAAACTAGTCTACTTTTAATCTCCAGCCCCTAAGACAAAGTTCTTAGAGTAATATAAAAAGATAAATTTACTTACAAAATCATGTGCATATTCATACACAGGTAAAACTTCATGTTGCAAAGAAAATGAGGTACAAAATAGTCTACATGCTTGCAGAGAAAGTTTCGTATCAGCGTGCTAGAAAGTCATGTTCCTCTGGTCAAAAGGACAAAGGAGAAGAGTAATGGTGATTCCTCCAGATTTGCGCATGTGCAAACACGTCGCAGCCGCCATTTGGTGAACAAAATGCTGGCCAAGGTGCACGCTATTGCGTGCCGACAAAAGTGGATAGCGGTGGAGGCGGCGGCAGCGGAGGCGGAGGCACCTCCGCCTCCGCCTCCTCCGCCACCTCCTCCTCCACCGCCTCCGC